GAATCATTGTCCAAGTGATTAATTCAAATCACTGATATCTGAACAATATTGTGAAGCCATTAATGACAGAATTATTCCCACAAAACTGGAAAAGTGCCCACAGTACCCATCTTAAAAAGGGGAACAAGTGGGACCTGGGATCATCCTGACTTCAACACCTGGGAAATTAAAAGAGCACATTATAAAGCAGACAATTTGTAAAAACCTAGAATAAGTGGTAATCACTAGCAGCCCCAATGGAATTTTGAAGAGCAAAACATACCAGACCAACCTGATTTTCATCTTTGACAGAGTACTAGTTTGGTGGATGAAGGGAATGCAGTGAAAATAATATACCTGGACTTCAGTAAGGTTCTTGCTGAGTCTCATGTAATACACTCATGAGTCAACTGGAGAATGCGGACTAGAAAGAAGCACCATGAAGTGAACACATACTTGGTTGAACAACAGCAAGGATAGAGGAAACGGATCAATGTCAGATTGGCAGGATCTCTCCAGTGGCATTCCACAAGGACCTATTCTGGGTCTAGTACTGTTTAGTTCAGCACCAGATGGAGAACTTGGATGGAGGAACAGAGACCTTACTGATCAAATCTTCCTATAATATAAATCTAGGAGGGGCTGCAAATTCTTTGGATGATAGGATTAGAATTCAAAAAGATCCTGATAAATTGGACAAATGAGATACATACAACAAAATGAAATTTAGCAAAGATATTACAGTGCAAAAATTCTAGGAGAGACAGCTGGCTAAACAGTAGGAGTGCCAAGAAGGATCTGGGGGTTACAGTGAACCATAACTGAGTATAAATCAGCAATGTGATACTGCCACAAAGGGTGTGTGGGGGCAGGGGCGCAAATTCCATTTGGGACTGAATTAAGAGTAGTAGGTTAAAATGGAAGGTGTCAGCTAGAGCACTGCATGCAGTGCTAGGCACCAAATCTTAAGAAAAATGGAGAGGATCCAAAGGAGCTGGACTGCAGGCCATACAAGATGAAGCTGAAAGAACGAAATATGTATACTCACAGGAAAAGGAGATTAAGGCGGGATATTAAACTGTTTGAAAGGATGCCAAAAAGAAAAGGAAGAACAACTGCTTTTTCTTGAATAGAGGGCAGGACATGTGGCAATGGGTTTAAACTGTGGCAAAGCAGATTTAGATTATCCCAGCAAAAGCATCCTAACTTTATGGACAACAGAACAAGCCCTGTATGAAAGATATACAATTTCCTTTATTATAGGTTTTCAAAAAGAGAATGGATAAGATGTAGGATCTGGCTTGGAATCTAGAACTTGCCTAGCACATCCTGTATCACGGCAGGGATTTGGACAAGATGACTTTTGAGGTTTGGAAAAAAAACAAGGGGCCAGGAGAGAAGGTGACCCTCTAGCCCCAATACACAAGTGGTTAGGGCACTTTTCCTCTAAGCCAGAGATCTGAGTTCTGGGTTCCCCTGGCAAGATAAATTTGAACGTACATCTACCCAATTTCCTAGCACAGTGCACCAGGACATAACCTAATTCCTTCACTAGCATGATGTTTGAAACAGAAGGCAGGGTAGCTATGTACATTTATTAACTAAATAAGAAACTTATAGAGAGCACAAGCTTTTGTTAATCCAAATTCAGTTTATCAGATATTGTAAAAGGCCGGGCAGAAAGCAAAGTATAAAGTGGAGTGAGTAATTAGAAAGCTGAGCCATTGCCCCTTGCAATGCTTCAGGCTGTAGCCGGCCATCCTCATGCCGGGTGGCTAACCCAAGCGGCCTCTGCTGCTCCCTGGCTCCCACAGCTTAGGCCCGTGTGTAGCCCCGTGCACCATGTGACCTGGTCACTTGCCAGGAGATGGGGCCGGAGCCCCCTCACTGCAGCCTTAAGGCCTTTGCCCCATGCGCTGCCCCGCACACTGTGTGGCCTGCTGGCCCTGCCAGGGTTGCAGGCTCAAGCCACCACACATGGCTCCCAAAGCCTGGGCTCTGTGCACCAAACCGTGCACCCTGATGGGCCCGAGCAATCTCACACTGCTCCCAGGGCGGGATGCACTGTCAACAGCCTGAGCAGTTTTGCGCTGCTCCCAAGGCTGCTCCTCCAGTGGCAGCTTCAGGAGCCTTGGGCCTATTGTCCGCTGGGGGAGAGCTCCCCAGTGTTTCTTGGCTCCGCTCTTCTTGAGTCCCTCGCTGCATCTGCCCATGTGCTGGGCACGCAGCTCCTTTTATATGCTTCAGGGCTCTGCCCCTGAAGTCTTCCAGACCTGACAGTTTACAGTCTTCAATCAGGTCTGGGGGAGCTTTTCTCCCTCTCCCCTCAGGAAAGGGGCATGATTTTATTTCTCTTGCTGTCTTCTGATTGGTGGATGGGCTCCACCAATCAAGACAGCAGGATCTCAAGCCTGGGACTCAACCGAAGCTCTGAAAGGTGAGCCCGCTACACATACATGGCCAAATGAGTGTGTTTACATGACTACATACCTACATGCAGCCAGAAAATACTCAGCCAATGTATACACACAGTGCAGGGGAAGTATAATTGTTCCTGCATGCAAGTGCCAGAAATGCCACTTATGCAACTAGAAAACTCCGATTTGGACACACTAAAGGAAGCAGAATTCTTTCCATTCATATAATAGTCTCAATTTTCATCCCAATAAAATCAAAGAATCAGGTATTTGGAAAATGCAAGGGCACTGGAAAAGAGAGACTAGGAACTTCACATATACCTTCAATATGCTTGTCATATAGAACATCAGGATTGCTTCTTGTACAGACTGCTTTGAATCCATCTTTAGCCTGTTGAGAAGGCTAGCCGTAAGCTACCTCTGTATAAAGCACCGATAAGCCTGTAAATTACATCTTAGCCCTCATATAGACATTTGTTTTCTCCTGGAAGAGTCACTCCTCTTCCAGGAGAAACCATGAGTGAACAGATTTTCAGGCTTTATCTTCCTGAGCAAAAATGGCTGTTCCAGGAGAAAAATAACCTAAGAACAACCTGGTTAAGTCACTCCTGGGAAAAAGAATATCTGTACATGCCATAGATTCTCTCAGCACAGGACACAGTTCTCTAACATTCCTCCCTCCAGGGAGAAAGTGTATCACTCATTGGACTGTGTTGCACTAGCAGAGAGCAGAACGTGTACCTTTTACAATCCCCACAATGTTCTGCGGGGAAACCCAGTCTGACCATGGTTCAGTCTGGGTCAACCAATCAGGGCAGCCCCCAGTGCATTGGTGTCATCTGCTGCCAGGCAGACTAAGGGAGCATGCAGGGCCGGTCCAAGGGTAATTGGCACCCTAGGTGAACTGTGTACCTAGGTGCCCCTACCACTTCCAATATAGAGGAAAAAAAGAAGTCTAGAATGAACTTTTACATGTTCTTATTTGATATTCAAAATGAACAATAAAACAATAAAAACAAATTTTTTATTGATTGTTTCACACTTTTCATTAACCCTAACACAATTATAACAGCCAGGGCTGTTATTTAGAATGATGTTCTTGTTATTTTGTTCTAAATATAATTTTGGCGCCTCCTAAATTTTGGCACCCTAAGCAACCACCTAGTTCGCCTATTGGTTGGACTGGCCCTGGGAGCATGCAGAGCATGCTAAGCTGTGTGTACGGCGGCTCCCTCTGGCTGTATGGCATCAACATTGCTAGCTTTCCACTCTTCAGTGTCTCAGGATTCAAATGTTTGAAAATGTGATTCTGGGTAAGTTGTTCTACCTGGAGAACAAGCCTGGAAGAATTCTCTAAGATTATTTGAATGTGCATACACAGACTTAGACAAGGTGATTCAAGCTGGTACTATATTTTCTGCAGACAAGGAGGAGTATATGTTGAACAAAGAACAGCACTGAAGAGCAACCCTTACAAAGGGTCTAAGTCTATACCTTCTGATGTTTTGTCCTAAACAAAAGAACAAGCCTCTTATTAATTTACTCTAACACCTGCAGTTCTTATGGGCCAATACTTAGTTGTAGTTGCTGAATTGGAGCAAAGCTTCATAAATTCCCTCACACTGCAGATTGAGATTACACCTTCATGCAGATGTTATTTCACTGATGTCTCTTTTTCTATCCATAATGAAATCCTGGTTCTACTAAATTCAATCACAGTTTTGCCATTGATTGGGGTCAAAATTTCACCCCATGACTTGCACGGTAACACTAAGGCAACAATATAAATTGCTTACAGTTAAACTGTCAGAAATAAGGAGCAGGAGTATGTATTATGTGACCAAACAGCTCTTCATGTAGCAGCTATTTGACTGTCTATTTGAAAGTCTCTGAATTAGTGAAGGCTATTAAACCCAAAAGAATGAACAGAGGTAGATTCTGGGCAACACAGTCAGATTTCTACTCCACTGGGAAGTTGGAACCAACTTTAAAGTCCACAACAACTTCATTAAAAGTAGTATGTACCCAGATCTCTAAGCACAGGATAGTATCAACTCACTAGCTTTTAAAACAGTTTTTTCCTTATAACTTATACCAGCCAAGTATAGGATTGCTAAATAAAAATATATCTTATATCTGAACCATAGATAACCCTTTACAAGTCATTAGTGCCTTGATAATACAAATGCTTAAGTATTGGTATAACTTTACTCAAATGTAGAATTCTATTGAAGCCAATTTAAAATAAGTCAAGTAGTTATTAATATGGGTAAGCTTAAACATAAGTTTATGTTTTTCAAAAGCTAGTAAGCCTTACTTTTGTATAGAATCTGTATGTCAGTAACTAGCACAAAGTCAAGAAGTATGCAAACCAGTTACGATTTAAAAAAAAAAAACAACTTAATGTTCAATACTAAAAATTAACCTTTTTCAAGGTCCCGGAAGGATGGTTGGGTGTTTCTGTTTCAACTGGAAACTGAAAGCAGTAGAAAATGTACATGGCAGCCAATTCTGAAGTAGGCCAGTTTGGAATGCAATGTTTGGAAAACAAAAGTCATTTTAGGACAAGAAAAACTGAAGATATGTAAGCTTTGTATGTCTTACCAGATTCTGTACCATACACATTCTCTCACTTCTCAGCTCAGCTACAAGTCCATAGATGTCCACAAAATCATGATCATTTATATGTTGGGTTAAATGGTCCAAGGCAATAAAAACTCCTGTTCTGCCAACTCCAGCACTGAAAGCATTGTATAATTTTTTTTAAAAATGTTATATAATAATTATTTTAATGTATAGCATTACTTCCTGGAAAAACTTAAGGTAAAAGCAAGTTTAATGTGAAAAGAAATTTCAGTCAAAATGGGAGTTGTTATGCAAGCTACTTATCTCCCCTGCATCGCTAATGAATGGGATACATGGTATCTAGACGTGATAAATGGATAGATAAATATATAAATAGATAAATGGAATCTAGACCTAGTCCTAGCTTTGGTCTTGCAAATCTAAACCCTACTGATTAAGTACAGCTAAATCAAAACCACCCTAATTTAGCATCTCTTTGGGACAGAATGAACCCAAAAACTGCTTTGTAAATTCCCAAATTTTGCTGTCTCAAATGGAACAAAACCACAATCAAGGTTTTGCAAAACTACTACTTGAATATGTTGCTGCATTTCTATTTCAGACTAAATAAACGAGGGGCAAAACAAGTCTCACAATGGGATTGTAGAGAGGCAACAGCAAGGCGCCAGACTACCAAGTGTTGACTCTGAGGTGTTGCAGAGTCACTTGGAAGGACTGGATGCGTTTAAGCCGGCAGGCCCGGATGAGCTCTATCCAAGGGTACTGAAGGCACTGGCTGACGTCACTGCACAGCCACTGGCAAGAATATTTGAGCACTTGTGGCACACGGGCCAGGTCCCGGAGGACTGGAAAAGGGCCAATGTGGTCCCCATTTTCAAGAAGGGGAGGAAGGAGGATCCAGGCAACTACAGGCCAGTCAGTCTCACCTTCATCCTTGGTAAAGTCTTTGAAAAGATTATTAAAGCTCATATATGTGAGAGCCCAGTAGGAAAAATTATGCTGAGGGGAAACCAGCACGGGTTCGTAGCAGGTAGATCATGCCCGACTAATCTAGTCTCTTTTTACGACCAGGTTACAAAACACCTGGACACAGGGGTAGGGGTAGATATCGTTTACTTAGACTTCACGGAAGTGGAAAGGGATCTCAGAGTCCTAGTGGACTCCAAGATGAACATGGATCATCAGTGTGATGAAGTCATCAGCAAAGCTAACTGCACTTTATCATGCATCAGCAGATGCATGACAAACAGAACCAAGGAGGTGATACGTCCCCTGTATTGGGCACTGGTCAGAATGCAGTTGGAATACTGCGTGCAGTTTTGGGTACCACACTTCAAGAAGGATGTGGATAACCTGGAGAGGGTCCAGAGAAGGGCCACTCATATGGTTAAGGGCTTGCAGGCCAAGCCCTATGAGGAGAGACTGGGGCACCTGGACCTCTTCAGCCTCCGCAAGAGAAGGTTGAAAGGCGACCTTGTGGCTGCCTATAAATTCATCATGGGGGCACAGAAGGGAATTGGTGAGGCTCTACTCACCAAGGTGCCCCTGGGGGTTACAAGAAATAATGGCTGTAAGCTAGCAGAGAGCAGATTTAGACTGGACATTAGGAAGAACTTCTTCACAGTTAGAGTGGCCAAGGTCTGGAATGGACTCCCAAGGGAGGGAGTGCTCTCTTCTACACTGGGGGTCTTCAAGAGGAGGTTAGATAGGCATCTGGCTGCGGTTATCTGAACCCAGCACTCTTTTCTGCCTATGCAGGGGGTCGGACTCGATGATCTATTGAGGTCCCTTCCGACCCTAACATCTATGAATCTATAAAGAAAAGAAAAATAAAAAACCTTTCTATATACTTAATGATTAGAAAAGAAAGCACTTTTGAAAAATGGTGGGGAGACCATTAGCCTGAAGGATGAAGTCCAAAAGGCTGGTAGGTATAGATGTTCCCATTTAAAAGATATGAAACTTAACCAGGCCACTTTAAGAACCTGCCACATTTTATATGGAAACACTGCTAACAAATGGAAGGGAACATGATCACAGAGGCTCAGCAAATGTGAGACCACTCTATAGAAGCTTCAAGTGGTGAAGACCTACTGAGTTTCATGGTCATGAAAATTAGGGCTGTACAAAATTGCACCATTCCGTTTCGCCTTCAGTTTCAATGGTTCGAAGGAACAGCCTTCCGCTTCGAATTTCCTTTAGATTTGAAACAGCTGTTCCGTTCCATCGAAACTGAAAGGCTGTTTCGACATTTTGCTGGGGGTGGGAAGTAAGCCCAGCTAGGCTGACTTCCCACCCCCAGTGGTAGATCGCAAAGGGGGTGGGGGCGTCAGCCCAGCTGAGTTGAATCCCCATCCCCAGTGCTAGAACAGGCAGAGGGGAACGGAGAGTCAGCCCAACTGGGTTCACTCCCCCTGCCCCGCGCTGCAATCAGGTGTGGGGCGGAGAGTCAGCCCAACTGGGTTGACTCTCCACCCCCGCACCCGATTGCAGCGCAGGGGGAAGTGAGCCCAGCCGGGCTGCCTCTCCGCCCCCACACCTGATTGCAGCACGGGGGGAAGTGAGCCCAGCCGGGCTGACTCTCCGCCCCCTCACCCGATTGCAGCACCCGGGGGGGGGAGGGAGGGAGGGAAGTAAGCCCAGTTGCGCTGACTCTCCGCTCCCCCCTGCCCGATCACAGCGCAGGGCGGGGAGTAAGTCCAGTTGTGCTGACTCTCTACCTCTACCCCCGACTGCAGCGTGGGGGGGAGGGAGGGAAGTGAGCCCAGTTGGGCTGACTCTCTGCCCCCGTACCCAATCGCAGTGTGGGGGGGCAGTGAGCACAGCTGGGCTGACTCTTCGCCCTGCACCTGACTGAAATGCGGTGGGAAAAGTGAGCCCAGCTGGGCTGACTCTCTGCCTCTGCACCCAATGGCAGCGTGGGGGTGGGAGCGAGCCCAGTTGGGCTGACTCTCCACCCCCCTTGCTGGATCACAGTGCTTCCCCTGCCGGATTGCAGGGCTGGGGTGGGCTCAGTTCCCTTCCCCTGTGCTGTTACCAGCTTCCAGGAGCAGGAGATGGGGAGAGCCAGGGCTGGGAGCACAGCCTTGGTTCTCCCCTGTCTCTTGCTGCTGGCTTTGAAACTCGAAACATTTCGAAGTTTTCAAAACGTTTCAACTAGCCTTGTTTTGTTTCAAGGCTGTTTCGAAGACCTTCATTTTGATTCGATCTCACTGTTTCGAGCTCAAAATTAGTTCAAACAGTCTCGAATTGAAACAACTAGCAAAATTTCGCACAGCCCTAATGAGAATGTATGTTGCTGTTGTAAGGTCATTTTGAGGTAAGTAAAGATGAATGTTGATTGTAGAACCTGATTTTGTGGCCCTTTCTGGTCCTTTTTGCATCTTTTTCAGTGCAGAGAGGATGAAATCTGACCCTAGCTTTCACGCTGTGGACTACCCATAATATAGAGGAGCCCTCAGAAGCATAAAGCTAATGTAGCTGGCTCATATGCCAGCCTCTCTGTGGCCTTTTGTGCAGGATGTGAGGGGCAAGGAAGAGCAGCTGCAGGAATGGCAGATTTCTTAGTATTATTGACAGCAAGTGCAAGAGAAAGAAGCTCCAATGCATTATCTGTCCAAAAACTGTAAAGAAAGTAGGTCTGGAACAGAGAATTAGAGAAACCTAGTTAGCTGATACCCTTTCTCATGTCTGCTGTGCAACTCTGGACCACAGGAAAGAATCTAAATTCTGGTTCCCAACCTGACTCAGTACTTTGGAATGTCCCCGCTCACAGTGGGGACACTGAACTGTACGTAAAATGCAGAGGCACTGAGCGCCTAACTGAAGAATCAGCTTTCCCCAGATACTTTGAAGTGATAGTTTAATGGTGCAGAGTATGAAATCAATGGGAGCTATGACAGCTGAACACTTCTTATAACAAGGCCATTTATTTAGGACCCTAAATATAGATTCTCTCTCTCTTCAGGCATCCAAGTTTGAAACTTGGCACCATATATACAAACTTCTGTTTTAATTCTTCAATCTCTGCTGACTGTGGAACTTGGTGTACCTTAAAAATGTTAGGTCAATGGGCTGCTAGGCTTTTGTGGGTTGTTTTGTTTTGTTTTGAACTTCTAGGAAAACACTATAACTATCAATGCTGTGCCCATTTTGTGAATAAGACAGAAATCTTCAGTGTTCACTGTTGTCTATTTGGCAACTTTCCCGGAGGCTAAAATGAATCTAAAATGAAGGCTACCTCATTTAAAATAATCTACTTTAAACTGATTTAATGTAAGTGCTTACCTGCAGTGAATAACCATAGGCGTATTGTCATGTGCTCGGCTTGCACGGATCAGCTTTACAAAATGGATTAATGGAGCAGTAGTTTCAGGCACCCCATGCTCAGGCCAAGAAGTAAAATTACATTGGCGTACCATCATGAAATCGCCATGCTGACAAACACAAAATCAGTACAAAATAATACAAGATTTTATCAATATTTTGAAATCGGTTTATAAGCATTCTGCACTGTAACACTTCATCATCTTAATAACTATCCTTAAAAAAGAAGGCTTGAAGCAAGATGATATGTGTTAAGTGTACTAGCATTTGTGAGAACTTCTCACGCAGGGATTTAATGCCTGTTTGTTTCATGGAAGCTGGCACCCAGTCCGCCCATGAGGAAGTGCTAATGACCTCAGCCAGCAAGAGCCTCAATAAGCCTCCACTGGATTTTACAAGCTATAAGGGACATGGGAGGGGGGCCCACTTTACAGATTACAGGCTGAAACTTTTCCAGCTCTTCTAGAAGTCCAAATAGCATAGTTGGCTTACATTTATTCAGAGAAGGTGCCAGTTAGACCCTTTCTGACCCTGATCTGCTACTCTCAAGGCAGTTCCAAGTACTTGTGGTCAAAAAGCATGTATATCTGATAAATGAACTCCTAATAGCAGTAATGATATTAAGGCATAAAAGCAGAAGGTGACACACTGACTTTTCAACTGATTATTATGTATAGTGACAGTTTTCAACTGATTATTATGTATAGATGATAATCTATATTAAATTAGAGTACTGGGAGGGGATTCTGGATGCAAAATTTGCAAATGATTTATCTTTTGTGCACAAAACTCTTTTCATGCTTGCATGGGAACCCCCCCCCCCCCCCCCCCAAAGAAACAAACTGTATCCCTTCTATTTGTGGGCATCAGACAGTGTAGTCCCAATGCCAACACTATGTTACATTTGACTGATATCCTGATAAATAGCAAGGTATTTCATTTAGCTGACATGCTAATGCAGTTCAAGGTATTTCAGTTACTGGAAATTTAGACATTGTTTTTGTGTTCTCTGCAAGCCTCAGGGGCTTGTTATACTTTCCTCTGTGAGCCACACAAATGTTGATCAGTGTCAATGCTAGCTCAAGTTTGGTAAGAGTGTCCTCAGCCTCCCATTTCAGGCTCCCCCTGCCTCCCCCCCAGGGATCCCCAGTTCCCTCCTTTCCCTCAGGGTTCCCTCCCCCCTGCTTATTTGCAGCTGCCTGATTTGTCTGTCCCACGGGGGCAGGCAGAGAAGGATTATCTTGCCTGCCTGGCCCATTCTGCTGCCCAGCTTCTGCTATTCTCTGGTCTGAGCCTGGCCCAAAGTACAGCAGTGTCAGTGGCAGCAGCTGGGCAGGCAGGTTAACCCTCCAGGATAGTGTGGGCAGCCACAAGTAAGCAGGGGTGGGAGTGGGGGGCAGTGAGCAGGATCCAGGGTGCTGTGGAGGGTGGGGTAATCAGTCTGATCTGGGCTGGGGTGGGGGGTAGACAGGTGTTTACACTAAGATGTAGCCTAGAGTGGTTACACCTTAGTGTAACATGAGCCCGGCAGCATGAATCAGAGATAATTCTGCCCTGGAGTGGCATAACTTTTAGCTGCCTAGCAAATGCTTAAAAGTAGTTTACGGTGTTAATATGTGGACAATCCAGGGGTTAAGAACTCCAGGAGCCACCCAAAATTACTCTTTAACAAAGCCCTTACATTGGTTAACATGTATGCATTTGTGTTTTGCTAGCAAGAACAAATCAAGTCCTCCTTCTCTGTAGGCTGTCCTCTGTTCTATCTTCAGAACAAGTTTAATTTATCTTGATATAATTTTTAAATATTTCACTTTTCTGTGCCATCCATATACAGGTTTCCCTCACTTTATGCAGGTACTGTATGTGTGAATTCGCTCTTATCCGATGACCCTTTTTATACCAAAAATTCGTTATATGCAAGGTAAATTCACTCTTATGTGATCAGGGTGGTGGAAGCCCAGTCTCACAGCTTTGTGCCATGCATTGTGGGAGTGACGCATACCAAAACAGTCTTGTGTGTAGATCCGTGCTCCTTGCTCACTGCCTGTGACATGCTTCCTTAGTTGCCATCCCCATTATAGTAACATTCACCACCACCCTGTGCTTGTGTGTACAGCCTGCTGTTGGTGAGTAATGAAATTGTCCTATAGAAGTAGTAGAAATTAGGGCTGTGTAAAACTTTGGTCCCTGATTTGATTTGGCGGAGATTTAGCCTGATTCGGTGGCCAAATCTCTGAATCTGATTGAATTAGGAGACCCTTTAATCTCTCCGAATCGAATCAGAACCCTCTGAATCAATTCGGAGAGATTTGGAAAGATTTGATGATTCGGACATAGGCACAGCTTTAAATGCTTTTTCTACATACCTCCAGGTACCAGGTGGCTTGTGAATGCTAAGATACTGGGGTAGATGGAGCATCCCACAGGAGTGTGTGGGGGGGGGTGGTCCCCAGCGCACTTGGCAACAGACCTGGAAGTAGACCAGAAGCACTTCCAGTCCACTTCTGGGTCTGCCAGGGAGCACATGGGGAGGCCCCCCTGCACCCTCCAGGCTCAGCATCTGGTGCCTCCTGGGGGGCACCTGGGGTCCCCCTACAGCCGATTGCAGAGCTACGGGGGTGCAGGGGGGCATCCACCACCGAGCATGCAGGGGGCCCACCCACGCTCCAGTGGAATGCTCCATCCGTCCCACCATCTCAGCATTCACGAGCTGTGCCTGGTACCTCAAGGTACATAGAAAAAACTATATAAAGCTGCATCTATGGCCAAATTGCTGATTCTCTGAATCAGAATCAAGTCTTCAGATTTGGATTTGGCCAAATTGAACCAGGGACAGTAATCCAAATCAACGAATCGAATTACTGTCCCCGATTTAGGCCAAATTGAATACAGCACGTTTCACACACCCCTAGTAGAAATGGGTCTAGGGGTCAGTACAGCCGAGGTCTTGGAACATATCCCTATTTGTTACATTGTAAAATGAGTTTCCTTTATGCAAATCTGAGTTATGCACCCTTTTCCAAGAATGCATGTATAGCATAAAGTGAGGGAAACCTGTAATGTATGCTTTTGAGCCTAATTTTGATATGACTGCCTAATTATCATGTTTCCGTTTGCACTAAGTATGCTAAAAGAACATCTTTCTATTTGGCCCCCGGTAGATATTAGAACTAAGATGCGATTAACCTGTAAATCATGCCATAAATAATAATCCTGCCACATGTGAGGATTTAGCGGGGAAAAATGTGAAATTAACCACAAAAAATATTCCACAAAAGATGTGTAACAGTTTTTGTGGGTGGTTTCCATCACACCTTATATTGAACATGTGGCAGGGTAACCAGAGCTGGCTGAAAACTCCAGTGTGGTCCTGGGGCTGGGAGCAAGAATCAGCTCAGCTCAGCTGACGTCTGCCCCAGCCCCAGGACCACAGTGGAGCCCTGAACTGGCCCCAGCATGTTCCTGCTAAAGTTCAACAAAGCTGCAGGCACTTGACTTTCAACTGACTCCTGGGCTCCCCCTGTACTGGCAAGTAGTGATGGTGCCGTTGGGATCTGATCCCTGATCCCAAAATCACATTTCCTACTATGCATGTGTGGCACAGCAGAAGGCATGACTGTTGGGATCAGATCCCATCACGCCATTAATTGAGCAAGTACCAGGGGCCTTTAGAAAGATTAGATTGTGGAGATACAAGAGACATCTTGGACTACTCTGTGCGGGATTTACTTATGAGCCTAAATTTTATTCCAACTTTCATTGGCTGTTAATTTTCTCAAAAGGGTAGGAACCAGAACTATGACTAGGACAACAGATAGGTATGCCTCCCTTATCTGCTAGGCCTCCAGAGAGCCCCAGAAGACTCCCACTCCGGTTGAGGCAAATCTCCAGGGCTGGATATGGCCAAGTCTATGGTCCAGTTCTGCTAACAGTACACAGCAAAGCACAAGAGGACCTTGCTCTTTACTTGAGAGGGATATACTCAAAGGGATTTTGATAATCCTAGAATTGTGAAGATTCTACTCATCCAGAAGAGACACTGAGATGTTCTTCCTAAAAAATACTACAGGTTCAAATATCCTTGATATACCACTCCCTATGATGTGGGTTACCTATCTCAGTTCTTTGTGAGAAACTGGAGGCACTTATCAAAGGTAGACCACAAAGATGGCCTAAAATCAATTACCTAATCAGAAAAAGGAAAACAATGTATTCTGAAAAACCCCACTAGGACAAAATATGCAAGGCTGGGATTAAAAGAACAAAGAGCACCGGGATGTTCAAGGCTCATTTTTTAAAAGAAAAATGAAAGAAAAAATATAATTCTCCCTTACTCTTTCAATTTTTATCTCCCTGATGGTCCAGTCCCTTTGATTATCTTCCATTAGTTTAGTAATCACTATATCTCCAAACACAGTTACAGGTTTATTGTCTTCTGGCCAGTATTGATGACATCTTATCTGTAGTGAGATGATACTTCTTATTAACAATTATCATATATAATCTTCACAGAAACATCATACATTATTTCCTGTTAATTCATGAATTAGCAGTTTATATGACAGTAACTTACCCGTCCTTTTTCAAAACACTGTGTAAGCATCACAAGTGTTTTTGCTCTAGTCTCCCACACCATTCTCCAGAAATCACCCACTGTTCCTGGCAATGGTCCTTGAGTAGCAATAAATTCATTTGGACATAGGTAGCCCTAAGATGAGAAGAATTAATGAATTCCTATAAACAAAAAGCGTGTGCGTGACTCATAATTATCCCTGTAGCTACACTGCCTGAGGTTCTGACCTTTTCAGTGCACACTAAACAGAAATAGGTCTGGGCAGTCACTGCATAGGAGTCTTCCAATGAAAATGTAAGTGTCAGGGATCCCGGAGAAATCTCTAAACCCTCTGAGGATCCTTCTGAATATTTTTCTTTTCTATGAAAAGAAGTAAAATTGAACTTTGTTTTATACTGAATTTTAACACAAACTTAAACCACAAGAGCAGTTTTTGAAGCAGAAAGACTGAAGCGCACATGCCACCTGGCTGTACTACTAAGACAGCTTATGTTTGCATGTATATAAACTATAACACACAAAAATTATGCTGCAGAGCTGACAGTCCATCACACAGTTCTGGTGATTACACAAAACAATCTGTGCAGTGGTTTATAGCATCTTCAAAACTCCTCAATGGAATTATAGCCCTATAATTCACAGCTGCCTGTTATTTATTCAATATATAATATACATAACAGGTGGCAGGGGGAAACTATGTTAATCCTCCGTAGTTCAAGAATGAATGAGCAACTACAATTCAGGGATGCAAAGCTCTGGATTATTTATTTTCTTTTTCCCCTCGTAGGTGAACCAGGACAAGTAAAAGCAGCATCTAATTCTGGTTTCTTATACAGTACATACAGTATCTGTCTCTATCAAAGTGAATATAAAGGACAAAGTTATAGCACTTTGATGAATCTCAGAAACCTTGAGGGAGTTTCTTTAGAAAATGTACTAGGAATAGAAGGTTTGAGAGGAAATCTTAGGCTGAGGTTTGTCTTTTATTTCTATTTTTTGAATTATCAGTAATGCCAGCCCCCTGGGAGGGATTATGATATGTATAGACATTTGAAGCAGGGTAAGGTGGCACACAGATGCACCGCTACAGATGGGGTGGAAAAAGAGACCTTGTCTTCCCCATTAACAGAGGACATAAGATCCAGCCCCTGTCATATCCTCTCAGCACCCACCAACATTGGTTTAAGGTTGTTAGAAGATACATCCCTGACTATCATGACTGATCTATCATCCATGAATTTATCTAACCCCTTTTTTGAATACAGCTATATCTTTCTCTACAACTTCCTGTGGCAATGAGTTTCACAGGTTAAGTATATACTGCATAAAAAGAATTTCCCTATTCACTTTGTCCACTCACTTCATGATATTATAGACCTCAGTTACACCCCACCTCATGTTTTTCCTTTTCAAACTGATGAATCCTATACCTTTTTCAGTAACCTTCTTTGTCTATATTTAAATGCAAATATATTATTCAATTATATTAAAATTACTTATGTCATAGAAAAGCAACACATCTATTGTTTAGTCAAGTGGAACACTTACATTTTTTCCTCCTCATAATTTGTATGAAAACCTCACCAAAAATATTCTAGCCATTGCTAAGTAAATATTCAATTCAATTTATTTTTAAATAGTATCTTTTGTGTATAATAACTCTAAACTACAAAATATTTCTTGACTCTGCAATTAAAAGCAATGGGAGTTTCATAATCAACTTTAGTGGAAACCAGATGAGATAAATTAATAAATATTATTCCATGATAAAAATGCACAAATTAAATTATAAACTAATCACCTTCAATGTCCCCCTAAAAACAACCCAAATCAATAGTAATAGAAGTGGTATCATGGATAACAGAGCTGCAGGAAGTAAAAGAAAAATGAGAAATGTTCTTATAAAAATATACAACTTTTCTTTTAAGTCACTTTTGTAAATACAAATCTGAGAAAAAGCAACAGATTTCCAACTTACAGAAACATAGCTGGCATTGATGTAATCAGATCCCGGTATACCAGCATCAGCCATCAGCTTCACTCTGTTGTTATTATCTATAGTAGAAACAAAGTCCATTTAATAATAATGGTTTGTTTGTGGGATGTATAAGATGCTGATGTAAATAAAAACTGTGACATGCATAAGAAGATGCTGTTATGCTGAGAATTCAAAATGAATGTTAATGCTAGATGTGTTTATGTAATACATGTGCCCTGCTACTATAATACAGTTATTATGCCTCACAGGAACTATTTAACCATCCTATTTTACTGGATAGTCATTCTCCCCCATCCTTCTTCTATTGGATTGCAATACATTTACTCACGTTTATTATTTTTAATTGAAGTGTCCAAGACCCCAACACTGAAATCTAATGTGCACAGGCAGATCTCTCATGACTGTTTGCAGCCAAGTGCACACCACTAATGAGGTGCTGCACAAGCATGGGGGACTTCCATGTGGGAGATTAAATTATTATTGGTTTGGTTGGTTATAATTTCAGTTATTGAGCCAAATCCTCAGGTTTTTACTGTACTTTAACTTCAGGCAAATGATTACTACATGGAAGTTTCCAAAGCTGGGTCTGAGGACCAAATCCAAAAAGGCATTTAGATGCCTAACTCCTATTTAGGCACTTAAATTCCAATTTAAATCAACCGGAGCTCTGGTTTGAGGTAAAAACTGAGTAAGGGCTTCAGAATTTGACCCACTCTGAGCATACTGAAGTGATGACGCATAGAAAGGATGTCACGTGTGAATAAGATTCAAAATGAGTAAACACTGAACTCCATAGCCCAAATCCTAATTTTTTTTTTCTGAAAACGAATAAAAGAGAAAGATTTGTAAATATTTAGGCTTATACAATGCCCATCTGATGGTATTTGACTGGGTGTCACAAATATTAGTTTTTAGCTATTATAAATTAGCATGCAGAATATGTGTTGAACCAGGCATCAGTTAATAGGAACAGCTGTTCTGAAAAGTTAATAGCACAGAAGGATGCTATATTAACAGAAGAATGCTATGCCCCCCATCTCACATCACAGTTAATGCTTAAAATAATAATGGTATTTCTTGTCTTATTAACTGAAAAATGAAGCAGTGTTGAATACAGAAAGATAGAGCCCTGTCTCTTGTGATAAAATCTAGCCTTGGCTTACAAGTTATCATACGTTACTCTGATCTTCTGTGGAACTCTTGCAGCATGCTTGCAAGTATTTGTAGGAAAGCGTCACCAAGGTCATAGGGAAAATTAATACACAAACATGTGGATTTTACACTTTTTAAAATCTTGCTTTTCACTAAGGAGAAAAGTCCAGGGAGAATGTTAAAGAGTTTGTTACTTGGGTTAAATTACAAAGCTAGGAAACTATTCAGGCTACAATTTCTTGCACCTGCATGTTAAAGTTTGAGACCAAGTTGAAAGCCATTTGCAAATAACCCTACTTAGAAAAAACCCCATGAACAAAGACAGATTATGTGATAGCAAATTGTAATACAACATGGACTTTACTATATTAACCTTTCACATCACATTATAGAGACACCAAATGAAAATTAAGGTAGCTTTCAAATATATACTGGACTTCTAAAAGTTAACAAGCAAAAGGAAGACACTGATTAGCAAACACACATACATGGCTTTATGTTTGGAAAGCGATTCTTAGACCTGTTCCAGGGCAGATCAGCATCAGTAGAAGCAAGGTCTTCAAGAAACTTGGGAAGTTCCTGTAAGATAGTATTTATTTAGGAAGTCTTTAAGCTTTCTTTGCAGTCAGCATTACAAATAGATAAAAAATGCAACATCCCCCTGTATGGTCACTCCAGTAAGAGGAAGGACTTCTCAGTTCTATGTTGCATTTCTAAGAACAGCTGGAAACATTATAGAAGTATTTCACCTCACCGTCAACCCTAGTTACATGAATGCTGTCAGATGCAGAGCTGCAGAAAACACTGTCAAGTTGAACAATTTAAGCTTACATGATCTTTCACCTTTAAAAGTCTGGATAAAGTCAGACTATCACCTCTTGTGTTTTTTTCTGTCTTTTTCATGAAGCCATATAATGTGGTAACAATGTCCTAGCGACTCAGCTCCACTTGTGAGTAATGCCTTTTTGTAACTCCTGTTGCTTGGGAGGACTCTTGCCATAGCTTGAGAACTGGTGAGCATTTAATCAAACAGAGACAACTGGCAATTAATTATTGCTCACTGACTCATTACTGAGGGGGATGGGAAGAGTTATTTTTGGTTCAGTGGCAAATGAACCACAGCTTCATAACTGTTCATTAGTTCTACTATTCAAAGGCAGAGATTAATGAACCATTCATAAAGAAAAACTTTTTTGGGTAAAATATTTTTTATATATGTGTATCTATTACATATATATACACATTGTATAGCAATAAAATGCATGTGCTTTATATACTGAATGTGCTTGTGTATACATTCTCCTAAGAAGAGTTTTCTAAGACTGAGAAAGACTGAAGATGAGAACACAATAAGTCTACCACGCATCATGATTAACCTTTCTATTGTGATGGGCAGGATCCAGTGCTAATTCTTGTCAAGTGCATGGTTGCATTTGAGACAGTGTTGTCCTTTATGAACATTCTTCTGAAAAGAAGTTCATACATGAAGAAATGTTTTAAAAAAAAGCCGATAAGCAGAGGGCATGGGTATTGTAAAATAGTAAAGCTGTTTTTACTCAAACAATTTTTCATTAATATTTGAAGTATTCAACCAACCCTACTTGATGGCTTCAGTTAAAAATGACACATACATTCGTTGTACTTCATTGTTTTCCATGTTGTTAATATTGGTATTAAAAGGAAGACCTGCCATAACAAAACAAACTAAGCGTCCATCTATTCCACTATTGTATTTGCAGCAATGATTAATACTTGATGCTCGGCAGAAAGTTCAAAACAACTACAGTGTATCATGTTGTGCAATACAATCCCATGGAAAATTTTTACTTCCAGCTGATGAAAAGCCTACAGCCTAAAGCAAGAGGACTGGAGGGCCTTTATAATTCTATACCAGATAATATACCTGCAGGTGCGACTCACATAGAAAGGAAGGATGGTTTTATAGTTAAAGAACAAGCCTTGCAGTCAAGAAACCTGTACTATATTCCTAGTTGTGACACATAGGGGCTGTGAGCCACCTGGGGAAGAGATCTGCGAAGAGAAGTTAGGTGCTTATTTCCTATTGAAGGTCAATGAGAGTTAGGTGACTAACTTCCAGTTTACCTTTGAAAATGTCTCCCTTAATCTCTATAAGCTTTTCCTAGATGGTGAAAACTCCATATTTTATCCACCTCCTCCCAAAGGAGCAGCTAAATAATCACCATCTGACTTCAAAAGTCACTATGTTGACTTTTAATCTAGATAGCTGATCAGCTCCCCATGTGAGTTGGCTGATTGTCCTCTGCCAGGAATAGTCTGCCTTTTTGTACTGGTTGGCCTTGGACAAGCTATCCAGTAGGAATTCTTTCCACTCAGGCTTCTGGAAACTGAAGGTCAAGGAAATATATACAATGAAAAACCCAAAGCATATAAAAATCCCGGCTAAGAGTTTAATTAGTGATTTGGTTAATTTGGGTCTCTGTTTCACATATTTGGTCAAATTTAAAATCATGCTGATAATACTATTACTTAATAGAAAATTATCTTATTTTAGGTGGTGAGTTATACAAATGCTGTAATCTTTAATCTTGTAATTACTATATGTAAAAAGGAATATTTGAAATTTTCCATTGATAAACCTTAATATGTGAAAATATTATTGCTATTAAAACTTTTCATCTGGCCAGTCATGTGTAATATAATTATAATCCCTCCTTTTTTAGTGAAATAACACTTCTACTCTTGAAAAAAGTTTTCCTTGCATTACTGCTCAGAAAAATGTTATGGTGCTTTTATTATTAAATCCAGACCAATATTGTCTAAAGAGCATAACCAAAAAGCTGTAGGAAATGCCATTAATCTTTTTACACTTCTATTGTTTTGCCTGGGAGACTGAAATATTATAATGCAGCAATAGAAAAGACAATTGTTTGATTCTTCATTTTCATAAATCCAGACAATAAGTAATTCATGACAAATCTATAAATCCAAAATAATAAAGTTGCCAGAGCTTGACAAGTTATTTTTGTTATGGTAAATAATTATATACATTAAAAGTGATCTTGATACATTTCTGAAATAACCAAAGGAGCAGATAATGTTGAACAAGTCATTTAAATATGATAGCTATAAAAAATAAGTTATTTAAGAAAAAAATGATAAGCTTATTTTAGGTTTTAAAGCATTTCTGAAACTGTATATTTGTTATATAAATGCCATGTGGGTTTTGAAAGCTAATCACTTTTCAACAGGAGTTGGAGGACTTGCAAAATTACTGGCCCCAAAGCTTATGGTCATAGTAGTGGGTGACATTCCAATCTTACTGAGGGTATTCACAAGATCAAGGTAGGTAGGAGTCTAGATGTCATATTACTAAGAAATAAATGAAAGTGCATGGTTCTGTTCTTCCTTTCATTGAATATAATGGCAAAACTCCCACTGACTTCAGTAAACATCAACTATACATTTAAGAAAATGATCTTGCTTCAAGTCATTACATATACCTAAATTAAACTTATCTGATCACATGTCATTCACTTCTGTCTCATGCATGTCATACCCTGATCTATGCATAAAGATCAGATAAATAACATTTTCCAAAATTGAACAATACCATGTAAAACGAGCAAAATAAGGAAAGTAATATTCTTAGTTAATCAACTTGAGTGTCACTATTAAAAAAACCCTTTAATATAAAAAAACTTTTAATATTACTAGGGAGAATTATGTCAGTGCAGGAAAGGTCTAGACAAGATCACCTTTTGCTGACATACTAGGTGAATAATTTTGATCGGGTTGCAGTGAAGAGTGCACAATCTCAATCAGTGTAATGTTACTTTCTAAACAATCAACTTGGTAATTGGGTATTGATTATCAAGGCCAGAATCCTTCATGGCCTTGCATGCTTAAAATGGACATGAAATGTGACACATGAAATGACTAGAGGTCTTGCGATGTTATGACAACTGCTAGCAACATACCGAAAATTCTTCCTGAAACTTTAGGTTGTTGTTTGTGCAAAGCTCTTCAACATGTTGTAGGAAGGATTTCTTGCTTATTGGCCTAGAAGTAATGACAAAGGAGTTAGAAACCTGTGAGGGTTCCTCCCCACCCCATACAGCCACTGTTTTTACCAAAATAAACAGTTATCCATTTTAATAATTGATATTTGCAGACACATAATCAAAATATATGGCTTAGTTATTTGATTTTATTAGATCAATGCAAAATCAGAGCATCTTCTCCTCCTGGTCAAATTGTTAGCTTTAATGAGTAGGACTTTTTAAGGAAGTTAGCATTCCAGTGCAATGTTTTGATATTAATGTAAGTTTGTAAAGTTAGAATTGTATTCTAAAGTACATAATATCTCTTTGTTGCCCAGCAAACATTTCATACATTGCAAGGTTTTAGACATATAAAATATTGCAGTGACCTCATTCTCATAATGACATGGTTTTTAAACCCCAAGGAGTTTAAATATCCCTGTATTACTTCCCAAGCTAAAACACAGACATGCAGGCTTCACCCCAGAGAGAGAGAGAGCATTTCTCCAGTTACCATGCAATTAGTCATGCTTTTATGATTTATACGCAGCTTGGAGTTTTTTTCTAATAAACATACAAGAAGGAACCACACATTAAGACTCAACAAGTCACTGAATCAATACGGAACAGTACAAAAATATTTAATCAACTTACTTGATGGACTTTCTATAACTAAGTAACCTGCAATAGAGATTATGTTAAATCTGTGAGCCAAATGATATAATGTAGTCTAATAAGGCTAGATGCAAAATTTAGATGCAAAATTTAAATAACTCAAGATCAGAGATAAATGTATTTACACATTGGATTAAAATAATATTATATTGGAGAAATGACAGTAATTGGTAATAATTGGTAATTATTACACTGAGCTTTTGGTTTGTGTATTTATAAATATAGCAAATACAGTTTTAGGCTATTTTTCCCCATCTGATCATTTGACTGCTGTTCTGAGCTGAAATGGCACAGGAAATCCACACTTGGAGCACAACACTTAACTTACACTGGGCATTCAGATGTTTTGAACTGAGCATGAGGTGTAGAATGAAAAGTGCTCATGACATCCTTATACGTGCCAGCTTGAGTTGTGTGGCTGGGAATATGAGTGGTAAAGGGCATCTGCCTCCCAAGCTGTGCAGCAGCTCTAGAGAAGCTCAGGAAGGCAACTTAGTACAAATACTCCTTTGCAGTCCTTTGTTGTCCAAATACGTTTTTAAATATTTGAAGCTGGTGAATCTCTAGAGGCTAAGAAGCAGAGTCTAATTATCTCAGCAGGTACTTAATGGGACTTACACAGGAGTTAGACATGTGTTTATACATGTGGTCTTGGAGTGTGTTTGTGTGTGTGGGGGGGAGAGGGGTGCTTTAATTAGAGCAGCTCCAAGAGCATCTGGTGTATCAGCATCCCCGCACTTCAAAATGGCGGCAGGGGCACTTTATCTAAAGCTTGCTGAACAAGCTATTGGAATCGCTCATTGAACGAGCTTTACATAAAGCTCCCCTGCTGCCATTTTGAAGCATGGACACACTCATACACAAGACACTGGAGGCTGCTGAAGCACAGTAATTACTACACTCCAGCAGACTCAAATTAATCGAGTCTGCTCTGATGCACTGCAATTACAGTGCTTCGGAGTAGCCTCACTGTTCGTGTATAGGTGCCCCTAAGACCTAAAAACTGATTCCAAATAGTCCCTCCACGCCAAAAACTAATGCACATCTAAATCCTTTAAGGGACTCTGTTTGGGACTACATCAGTCCCTTAGTGGTTACAAATCAGCACATATGCCTACAAAGGAGGGGCTTAGAGCATACACTGTGATGACTATGCTCCCCTCTCCCCTACTGCCACCCCAAGCTCTAGAGTCATTCAGATCAACCCCAGAAAGCAACTCCCCAAGCTAAACTCCCTGGAAAGGGCAAAAACAACTAACTCACACTGGGTGTGTCTACATGTGCATATTAATGCATTTGAATAAATTCCAGAGTTTATTCAAGCCAGGTGCACATCTGCTTGTGAGCCCAGAAGTACAGGATGTTGAACCATGGCAGAGTAGCCCCAGCTGGCAGAGGGTCGGGCGGGGGAGTCAGCCTGCCAGCCCAGGGCTGCTTTCTCCAGCTCAACATGCTGCAGAGGGGCTGTCTTATCTTATTTACATATTTACAAGTATTATCCTGTAAATACAAGTATTATCCTGCTGCGGAGTAAACAACTCCACAGCAGCGCACATGTAGACATTCCCCTGGCTGGCTGAGGCACAGGGGTGCTTCAGTGCATGGGGTGCCAGCTGGCTAGCCTCACACTAAAGCACCCTCATGCCCCAGACAACATTGTATTTACTTGTATACTTGTATTTATAAGTATTATCCTGTTACAGGCTAAATTAGTTTACTCCAGCCTAATAGCGGTGCACACTTAGATGCAAGATGTTTACTGTACAGCTAATTAGTCTACCGTGCAGTAAATGTCTCATGTAGATACACCCACTTACAGCACTCAAGTCGGCTCAAAATTGGTGGCAAGCCTCCTTTTTGCCCACTAGCCTCAGAGTTAAAACACTTACCCAAGAAATGGGAGACCAACTTCCTTTGCGGCCTAGAGGTTAGGCTCTTTGAGCCCAGTTATTTTTGTTTCATAACCAATGATTGTATAATGTAAAATATATAAACAGTGCTAGGAACGGGGCCCAGAATGCAAAGCTTGCCATCTAGAAGAATGCCCTAGCCCTAGTCACTAGGTTACAGAAGCAATCTCTTGCTTGTTCCCAGAACTGTTCATGCATTATACATTACACAGTCATTGGATGCAAAACAGAAATGATGCTGACACAGGGACCTGAATCCAGGACTCTCCTTTCCCTAGGAAAATGTACTAACTAATATAATACAGAGCTAGGATTCCTCTTGCTCTTTCCAGCACCATGACTATTGTATTCCAGCCCAATAACCTTCAACAGTGTGTCTGTAAAACGTTTTTATCTAAACTGTTGTATAATCTGATGTTTAAGGTACTCTCTTGGGAACTGGGAGAGTCAATCCCAAATCTCCTCAAGATGAGGAAGGCCTAAAACCCAGATCTTCCACATCCTGAGAAAGTGCTCAAACCACTAAGCTCTTGGGCAAACACAAAGAGGAATCTAAATTGTCTGTCTTCAAGAACTGTTAAGAGTAGGAAAACCTACAAAAAATCTTCCAAAGAGAGACATGGCATTATAAAATCTCTCCATTGATTCTGCGGAGACCCCAGGTACCAGTGTGGGTCATTTTGAAAGTAAGAGGAGGCATTCAAAAGTGTGGTAGAGTAACACTCATGTCAAAGTACATGTTAAGACAATGTAACTGTGGCCCTACGTGCCCAAAGCAGAAATTGTCAAAACTGGTGCTTCTATTCATAAGTCTGTATTTTGGGCACCTAAATTGAACAAAACTATCCAAAAATTCAGCAGTTTTGAAAATCAAATCACATATTTAGGTTCCTAATGCCTTGATCATGCAACGGGTTCAATTGTAGACAGGTGCATGAGCATCACCAGAGTTTCTAGACACCTTCCAGCAGTGCATCAAGCACAGTGCATTAGGAATCTATTTCAGGCCCTCAGTTTGCAGGGCTTGCCTAAAAGCATCTACCAAAGAAATTTGAAACAACAGATTCTAAATGATAATTTACTCCTGCAAAACTCACACTTTTACCATTTCTCTCTTATACGCATTCTTTAAAAATAGGAGAAATTAATTCAAGTGTATATGAAAATACATTTTTACTACTAGCATACTTTTAGTAGCATAAGCAATCATTTGGCTTTCTTTAAAAATCTCATCAAGAATTTAGTTAAAAAAATTAAATTTAAAGCTTTACAATCTTTAGAAAAGTAAACCAAGTTATAATATGGCAATAACTGCAGAGCCATAACTTATTAAATTACTTTCACTACTCTTCCAAATGTAATGTCAAGCCTATTGAAGATGCATTGGACACACACATTTTATCATGGTAATATTCTTAAAACAATATAAATTTTATAGTATAAATAAATTACAGGAAATCCATATGCAATTTAAATCTTTTGAAGGACTTGACCCTGTTTCATTCAAGCCAATGGAGGTTTTGAAATTGAAATTTTAATAGGAGCAGGATCAAACCATCAAGACACCAAAAGGGCACTGCAAATCCAGAAAAGGAAGAAAAGGAGAATATGGAAGGATTAAGTATTTACAACATAGTTATTATCAGAGATCCCCTGCAGAGTCCATGTTTAAGTTTAACTAGCACTGATTATGTTGCTGGTCTTATTTACATATGTGACCAGGCATGCATTACTTGGCAGATGCAACCAACTTTTACTGACTTTGGCTGCATTACAGAGACAAATTTTCTCAAGGAGAAACTACTGAATAAGTATGCCACCTCTGCATACAAAAGTGCTTGCCTATGACCATCAAGTTTACCATTCTGCAATTTTTTATAATAAAAATCTTAGTAATCCTTGCAAAGACATTTTCTGTTTAATCTTCTTTATAATTTGAATTCTTCTAGCTTCCCCTTAGAGCAAAAGAAATATCCTAATCAACATTCTTGTAATTTTTGGAACAGTATTGATATCTGAAAGCTTGTGATTCTAGCCACATTACTCCCTTATTTCCTGTTGGCTGTAGAAACGAGTGTGCCATAACCAAACAACTCTGATGATGTGCAAGAATGGGGAAACCACTGAGTTTTTTGGTTCAGCTTCCTGGAACTGCTAGTGAGTAATGATTATAATTATTTGGAAACATAAATTTTATACGTGTGTGTGTGTGTGTGTGCATGAGCAAGAAGGCTCTTGTTATTTTGGCCATGTGCTCAGCACAGGGCAAGCTGGGGCCTGTATCTGGGTGAAATATGTAAAACCCTCTGGCCTCATTGGCCACAGGAAGCAGAAGATCCTCCAGGCAGATGAGTAAGAGAGAGGCTGGGCTGTGGCACTCCCTAATTGGACAAGGCTTTGGTGATGTCATACCAGGTATATAAGAACAATTCAA